TCCTCCTCAATCGCCGACGTATAAGCCGGCCCAAACGTATCTTGATGTCTTTCTCATAGATGCTCGGTTGGACACGAGTAGTGATAGTGCAATTACCTTGCCACATGACAACGACCATATGGCAATTTCCTTAAATTTCAACTTTTTGAATGATTCGCTGATATCTTGTGAACTACTGCCCTGACTCAGCGTAGGAATTTTAAGGCTACGGATTGGGAGGAATTCACACAGAAACTTGGCCAGAAATACACAGCATCCATCCCTGATAACCGTAACCTGTCTTTAGATGAAATCGATCGTGAACTACAGACTATTACAAGCGTTATTAATGAAGTCATATCTGAAATAGTGCCGAAATTTTCTACGCACCGCGTCAATAGTACTGATAAATACCTTAATGGAAAAATACTCCGACTGCAAAGTAAAAGACGACGCGTTGTTAACATTTTGCATAAACTCCATCGCATAACTCCGACTGCGCAATCCCTTCTTATTAGATTGGCAAAAGAAACTCTTAAAAATATCTCTCACCGCCTACGTTGTGAATTCAGACAATCTGCTGAATACCACTGGAGGAAACTCCTTCGTGCAATTGACCACCGTAAAGCGGAATCCTTTTTTCCTAAAATTAATCCTCTATTACGCCCTAAGCAGCCACCAACTATTGACACCATTTGTGTTGATACAAATAACACTTCTCTGCTAACGCGCAGTAACTGTAATCTTAGCAACACTTCTGTTAATAACAATAGACACAGATTCACCGATCCTATGGACAAGTTAAATATTATTGGAGCTCACTATGAATCAATCAACTCTCCTGAGAACTTAAATTCGGACTCCCCTCTCAAGCATATAGTGGACACTTCGGCACAGGCTATTAAATCTGATTTGGAAAGCAGAAGAAGTTCAGGATCGTCCATCACAAATTTTTCTGACAATAACAGTGCGTCTTCCCCCATGATGGACATGGAATTGCAGCCATTCTGCAGCCCCTTCTCTATTCAATTCATTCTCAAGAGGCTTCCTAACAAGACCTCATGTGGACTGGACAATATCCCGCCTATAGTTTTGAAGTTTTTGCCTGGGAACCTTATCACTGCGCTTGCCATAATATTTAATAACTGTATCAATCACTGCTACTTTCCGACAGCCTGGAAATGTGCAAAAGTGCTGCCGATTTTAAAAAAAGGCAAAGACCCAAGCAACCCGGCCAGCTATAGGCCCATTAGCCTTACCCCATCTTTGAGCAAGGTGCTTGAGGCTCACATTAACAACATTATTTCCTCTTTTTGTCAAACCCATAGTATTATCTCCCACAACCAATTTGGCTTTAAACACCATCATTCCACAGTGCATGCTATTCATAAACTCCTTTCAGACGTTAATACCAGTGTCGGCAATAGCCTCTTTGTTGGGGCGGCGTTTCTGGATCTAGAAAAGGCTTTTGATTCAGTTTGGCTAAATGGCCTGCTATATAAACTTCAAAAGAAGAAGTTCCCATCCTGGCTGATCCATATGATATGGAGTATGGTTGGTGGAAAAACTTTTGTTAGAACTGATGGCACCAATATATCGTCACAAATCTTTAATATCCTTGAAGGCCTTCAACAGGGCACAGTGAATTCCCCTGTATTATTTAGTATTTATTCAAGTGATCCACTAGAACTTTTTGAGCTGAACCAACCGAGACACCCGTCCGCGATTGCTTTTGCTGACGATTATGTCGTTTACACAGCCAGTAATAAAGTGGAGCGAGTTAGGGATGATTTAGAAACAATTACTGATAAAATTAATAGTTACTTCTATAATTGGAGCCTTCGCCTTAACCCGATTAAGTGCGAGACGGTCTTATTCCGGAAACCCCTTGAGCGTCTTTCGACAATCAATCGTAGGGGATATAAAGATTTTCACATTTCCACAACCATTCCTGGTACAGACTCGAGGGTTGCAATCCCCCACAAGAAGAATGTCAAATATTTAGGCCATCACCTTGACTATCTCCTAAGAGGGAATACCCACATTGACACGCAAATAAATAAAGCTCGTGCAGCGTTCCGTGCCAATGCTAATATCTTCCATAACCGACATCTCACAGTTAAAACTAAAATTATACTCTATCAACTCCTGGTTAGACCAATTATCGCTTATGCTGCCCCAGTGTGGTGGAACACAAATCACACAATGATGGAGAAACTGCGCCGATTTGAGAGGCAATGCCTTAAGACTTGCACTAAATTATATCGAACAAAAAGTTCTGGTTACCTACATTTTGTGAGTAACAAGACGATATACCAGAAGGCGGACATCCCCAGGATTGACACATTCCTCATAAACCTGACCCGAAATTACCACAGCAAGCTTCCTGATAGCAATAATCCAGTCATCAAATCCTTCACACAAACCACCCCAGCCAGCTGCGCACGACAGCTGAATAACGAATATACTACACCACAAACGTTCACTTACTGTGATACCCTAGGTATAATTCAGAACGCTAATAACATCCCCATACTATACCATTGGCGGAGAAATAAGGCAGATAAGCGTGTGGCGTTTACCCCCAGCGACTTCATCGACTCGAGGAATAGATTTAGATTTTCTACAGCCATTCCGCAAAGAGATTTTTCGGATTTTTCGAGATTATGTTTTAAGAGGTATTGGTGGTTGAACGCTGGGAGCTGCCACATGAATGATATGAGGAACCGAGAAAGGAACTATAATGGTCGGACTCAGCGTATGTAGAACTATTGAGGGTTGAATTCGGGAAAATGGGGCACCCTCCGATCGAGCTGATTTTTTTACCATAGATAGCCCTTGAGATGGGAATTCCAAAGATGGTCATCCCATCTCTTAACTCCCACCCGTCGCCCCGGTAGAAGTCACAAACTAAAATCGCTCAAAAAGTAGTTTCTGTACCGATTTCGGTGAGTACATAAAAAATATTTTTAAAAAAATTTTAAAAAAATTTTAAAAAATGAAAAAAAAATGAAAAAATAAAAGTGAGAACTTTTAAAGTGAGAAATGTAAACAAGGGCGAAGCTCCTCCCCCTGCGCCCCCTCCCCATTTATTATAACCTAACCAAAGAAATAAAAAAAATAAAAGAAATGAAAAAAAATGAAAAAAAATAAAAAAAAATAAAAAAAAGAAAATAAAAGTGAGAAAAAAAATTTAAAAAAAAAGAAAAATTTTTTTCTTGATGTGCTCATCGAGATCGGTGCAGAAACCACTTTTTGAGCGATTTTAGTTTTTGACCTCTACCGGGGCGACGGGTGGGAGTTAAGAGATGGGATGACCACCGTTGGAATCCCCATCTCAAGGGCTATCTATGGTAAAAAAATCAGCTCGATCGGAGGGTGCCCCATTTTCCCGAATCCAACCGGATTTTTAGATGAATGTTATATTTTGGTTGTTTTCCTGAGCTGTTTTGTAATCAACTACCCATATTATGTATTACAGTCATTAATAAACAGTTTTAAAAAAAAAAGGGGGGGGGGGCGTCTGTTGTCAGCCCCACTGACGAGTCTAACAGACGATCCCGAGACGAAACACCGTGTTTCTTTTCTCGACTGCTACAATATGAAGTTTCATATACTCTTTTCACAATGTTCTAATATTTAAAAATTCTGTGATTCTAAGGTCCCCCCTCATAAGATCTTGCGAAATGCAATAAAGATGTGATACGATTAAAAACAAAACATATGATAATATTTTTATTACATCAATACATTGTAACGTGAAACGTTATTACGTGAATATGTTCAGAGTGTTATGGCGACATTGCCATGGGAATATTTATCGATAGTCTTTTGTATCGATATGTCTCGAATGTTCTTCGAGGACCTTTGTATCGATGGTTATAAATTAAAAGCGGAGTTTAAACCATCTGCGTGTACACTCATATATAAAATAAACAAAGCCTAAATTGTAAACCCCTCGACGTGGGTGATCGAGCTGTCCAAGTAGAGGAATTCACTCCTGGAACCAGAGATGAGCAAAAATGTATTTAGATAAAAAATTTTAAGTTCGAATAAAAGCTCAAAATTGTATTCGAACTTCGTCGAATAAAAGATACTTTATTCTTATCCGTTATTCGAAGTTCGAATAATCACGAAGTATCTTATCCGAAGCGCTACGGATAAACCAGTTTATTCGACGAGAATTTATCCGACGGACCAAAGATACTTTTCTTATTTGAAGGCCTTACCCTTTGAGTTTCGAATAATTTTTTCACTTTTATCTGTATCTTTATTCGAAGCTCGGATAGTTTCGACAGGTACCTGTTGGGTCCTTCAAGGGCCGAGGCGAGCGAAGCAACGCAGCGGTCCCCTCTTACAGAATTCGCTTCGCCACGTGCCACCATTTTTACATTTGATAAAGTTCTTTATTTCCCATCTTATCGATATCAAAGTAACATTAATGGAATTCTAGCATTCTTCCAATGAAAGTGTTAAAATATCGTGAAAATCGGACAACTTTTAACGAACTTGACTTTAAATTCTGGAAAGCAATTTTTCGTGTAATTTCGTTAATTATAGTCCAAATTAAATCGAATTGAGTACTATTTTTATCGGGAAAACACATGGAGTCAATTGATGACACTTTCGCAAAGATCCGATGATCTATCATGATCCATTTCTTAATGACTTGTGCCATCCTTGTCGTTTATGGCCCCATTAATGTCGGATGTCGAGCGCTCGGTCGCAAAGGGTCCCAGGTCCTGTAGTACATTGACCTTGTTAGTAGAGTATTAAGTTTTCGAACGCTAATTCCCTTATTGCATCCGACCTTACACTCAGGTGATCATAAACGCTCTTCAGGAGCGTCGCCTTCCTCACAAATGGTACACAGATGTGGACACTTGGGAACGTGCGGAAAACTCCGGAATTGCTTTTCAGCATTTTTAGCAACCTTTGAAGCATTACCTTGACAGAGTAGGGATAAATGTGAGAGAAATGCAGTTACAAGAATCCTAGAATCAGTCTTAGGCCGTGTTTCCACTTGCGAGAAAACTTCTGCAATAAATGTCTGACAGACTGTCAGACAGCAACTAGCCAATGTAAACAGTACTGCAAGTGAGATCGCGACAGTTCCCATGCGCTCGCAGCAATTTGTCGCGAGAGCCGATTACTTGCAGGTCTAAACACGTTCACATCGACTCGCCGCAACTTCTCGCACAATAGGACTAGTTCCGAATATCTCGCGCTCGCAATGACACTTTCCTGTTTTGTCCACGAGTAATTTTACATTTCTTTCTGTTACTGAAATAAGTTACTAATGACTCTTGTGAGGTTGATGCAACTTTAATATGAGAGGAAGAGAACTCGAAGAAGTCTTGCAGAAGATTCTTGCAATGCCGTTTGCACTAGCAAGCAACTTCCCGCAATAAGTATTGCCAGAAATGTGTCGCGCGAGAGACTGTCAGAGAATACTGTCGCAACTTCTTGCAGGACTGTATAGACAGGGTAGTTTGACCTGTTCCGAGATTTCTCGCCAGTTTAGTTTCAAACACCATGCCGCGCAGACGTGAACGTGTAGCAGCAGCAATATAGCATTATTAAATAAAAAGAAAAAAAGATCCGTTTGGGTCCGACAATGGATTTCGAGACGACCTGAATTCGGTTGCTTCCATAATTTGTTAAGAGAACTTCAAATAGAAGACGGACAACAATATTTTAATTTTATTCGTATGACTGCTGTGGATGTGGAAATTTTAATACAAAAAGTGGGTCACATAATTAAAAAATAAGACACCCGGATGCGAGATTCAATATTTCCGAAGGAAAGGCTCATCTTAACATTAAGATTTTTAGCATCCGGTAAGTACATATTTAATTGTATTTATTTCTCTATTCAATTGACATACACACGTTCAAGAACTCTCGTTTCGCGTACTTACTTATCAGTCAATATACATAATTATTTTTTTTAGGAGAATCATATCATTCATTGATGTATCTATTCAGAATTCCTGTCTGCACCATATCTAAAATTATTCCGGAAGTATGCAAAGCTTTGTACGATACACTACATGAGGAATATTTAAAGGTAAGGAAAGAGAAGGTTTTTATTTAAGTAAAAATGAACATGTTTTAAAAAAATCACTATAAAAAATGTTTATTATAACTGATACAAGACAGTCGTCTCTAAAGTTGGTGGTGACGAATTGGAGGAAAATGATATTGTTGAAGATGTAGAGGCATCTTCTTCATCTTGAATATCTACAATTGCTCGTTGAACAATTTTTCGTAGTTTTTTCTTGCTTTCTGTATTATTAAAATTTCTCAGCACTGAGGCAACATAATCGCCGAATATTTGGTCGTCGTCGTTCGACTCAGAAAGAATTTTTGTACATCTACGCAAAATATCGTCGCCTTTCCTTTTTTTTGATGCACGATGTGGCCTCAACACTTCATTTTGCGGAATTTCTCCTGAAACTTCATGTTCAACTGTTGGAAGCGTTGAAGAATTTTCCTGTAACAATAATAATCTTTATTTTAGGTCCCATCTACTCAATCGGAATGGATGCATATTGCGAAAATGTATGAAGAAAAATGGAATGGAATTTTTTTAACAGCGATTCTGATTGGATTTTCTTGGAAAAGGGGGGCTGATTTTCAATCAGCTTGAGGACTCCGCGTGGAGTAACGCAGGTAGCCGACGCTGACGGTAATAAAGTAATTAGGACTTCCCCAAATTTGCTGCACGACGAGTAATTTCCTAATAATAGGTAATAAAACGCGTGTTCGTTCTAACACCCGTAAAACAGAATATTTCTTTACAAGGAGTCCGTGTTGCCCGTGTTGGCATTGTCGACTAGCGGCATTTATTTCCTAGATGTACTAGTCGGCTAAGTTCGACCAGGAACACGTTCGACTAATAAAATACATTGTTAAATACATCTTTTGTTGCCCCAGCGACAAATGAATTTGCCAAAAGAACAATTTCTGTGCGTCCCTTGCTTTTATGGTTCATGGCACAGTTTAATTAAATTGTACTTTCGGTTCTTTTGTTATCTGACTGCGCGATCTATGTGGGTATGTATTGTTCAATTTTGCGCCGCCTTTGAAAAGGTTGAAATGTATTTAGTGCACTATTTCTCGAGTAAATAGTTTTTATGAATAGCTATTGGGTATTTGTGTAAATGAAATAGAAATTATTCCATTAGGAAATAGAACTTATTTCATACTTTTTAGTGCATTTCGAAGTCGGTTATATTCTTTTTCAAAAATTATTTTATTTTTAAAGTTGCATCAACCTTATAAGAGTCATTAGTAACTTATTTCAGCTCTTTTATTACACAGTAACAGAAAGAAATGTAAAATTACTCGTGAACAAAACAGGAAAGTGTCATTGCGAGTGCGAGATATTCGGAACTAGTCCTATTGTGCGAGAAGTTGCGGCGAGCTGTTTGGACCTGCAAGTAATCGGCTGTCACAACAAATTGCTGCGAGCGCATGGGAACTGTCGCGATCTCACTTGCAGTAATGTTTACATTGGCTAGTTACTGTCTGACAGTCTGTCAGGTATATGTCTATATATGTATACTGATTTTTCGGTCGACGACTGCATGCTGACCCATACACCGCCAGAGACACGTAGGCATATACAGGGTGTCCCAGAACTGGGGTAGGAACGGAAGAGGGATGATTGGTGAGGTCATTCTAAACAACTTTTTCCTTTGCCAAAATGTTGGTTAAGGCTTCGTTTTCGAGTTATTATCGAAAAACACTGGCCAATCAGAGCGCGCCGTTAGCGCGGGCCGAACCACGAGAGTGTTGGGTATGTTCCGCACGGTCGTGATCAAGTGCATCGGCACCACGTCGGTGTAATAGGATTCGTTGTTCATGAGTAATCAATAATTCGATACAATTATTCTTTTCTTTTTTTTATTCATTATCCGATGCAACTTCTACTCAACGAATCCCATCATACCGACGTAGTGCCGAGGCACTTGATCACGACCGCGCGGAACATACCCAACACTCTCGTGGTTCGGCCCGCGCTAACGGTGCGCTCTGATTGGCCAGTGTTTTTCGTTAATAACTCGAAAACGAAGCCTTAACCAACATTTTGGCAAAGGAAAAAGTTGTTTAGAATGACCTCACCAATCATCCCTCTTCCGTTCCTACCCCAGTTCTGGGACACCCTGTATAGAATTCAATGTAGTAGTAACAATAGTTTTTCGCAAATATCTCGGAAACTAAAGCTTTCCGTTAATTATGCATAAGGAAAAAGTTGTTCAGAATCATGCCCCCGACAATATATTAAAAATTCATTGAAATCACCCTATGTTGATATTAAAAACTGCCTGTTTTTTTGCAATAATAATGCTTTGCAATTAACAAATGGAAATTTTCTTTTTAATGGGACCAATCGGGAGAAATACTCTACAAGATGCAAAAGGTTTCGTTCCGATTGGTCGTTTCATCTCGGAGTAATCGGCGCACATACATAGAAAAAAAGAAGTTGCGACAGTATTCTCTGACAGTCTCTCGCACGACACTTATTTCTGGCGATATTGCGGGAAGTTGCTTGTTAGTGTAAACGGCGTTGCAAGTATCTTCTGCAAGACTTCCTCGAGTTCTCTCGCAAGTGGAAACACGGCCTTAGGACAGCGACAGCAATCGTCACCAGAGTATCGTTCGAGGACTTCAAAGAGTTGTAGACACAGTTTATAAAAATAACATCTTTACTTTATCTTTAAAGTAACATAGTTACTTTAGTTTACTTTAGTGTAACATAGATACTTTAGTTTACTTTAGTGTAATATAGTTACTTTAGTTTACTTTAGTGTAATATAGTTACTTTAGTTTACTTTAGTGTAACATAGTTAGTGTAGTGTAGTATAGTCTAGCGTAATATAAACATTTTACAATGAGTGACACTGAGTGCCAAACGTAGGACAGCTATATTGCTAGTGTATCTCAGGAGTCGACATCGACTTCAGATGAAAATTCTCTTCTGGAAGTAAAAATACCAAATATTTTGAAGGAAAAATATTTTTCATTCCTACCCGAGAAATCTACTGATGACTGTGCTGTTGCCTTGTGCAAATTTTGCCTACCGGGAGGCAAAGAAATCAAGGGACATATAAATTCAACCTCTAATTTTCGCTCACACTTAAAGCGGAAACATACTACACAGTTTGAGGAATATTGTTCAGAATCGGCGAAGAAGAAACGAATATGTGGAAGTAGTGTAATTCTGAAGAACTGAAATCAAAATCAATTTGAAGTCGATGTCGCGAGATATATAATCAATTCAATGATACCGCTGAAATCGGTAGAGGATCCGTACTTTCGCCGAATATTTGACAATTTAGGAGTAGCAACAAAAATAAGTCGACGCGGACTGGGGAGAACAATTTCCAAAATGTACATGGACAATATGTGTGATGTAAAAGAAGAGTTGAAGACCGTTGAATTTGTCTGTACGACTGCAGATATTTGGTCAGGAAGACGACGGAGCTTCTTTGGTGTTACAGCCCATTGGATCACACCAAATTTAAAAAGAAAATCAGCAGCTTTAGCTTGTCGCCGCTTTCCTGGTATGCATGCTTTCGATAAAATAACCGAACTTTTACACAACATACATGCAGAATTCGGATTAAACGGTGAAAAAATTGTTGCGACTATCACTGATAATTTAAGATATTCGGTGTGAAGGAAACGTCGATCGAACCTGAAGCTGAAGAGGATTATACAAGTGCTTCCTCCTCTGATTCTTCCACTGAAGAAGACGACGAAGAAGAAGAAAGTGCGATAGATAAATGTGGTGTTATCGACTTATTACCACGTCAATGATTTGTTGCACAAATGCAACATATTTTGGAAGGCAGCGATGAGGCCGAAATCCGCTGAAGTAATACAGCAGACAATTGGTCATTCATTAAAACGACCCGGCGAAACACGCTGGAATTCTTTGTACGATTCCCTGAAGCAGATTGTACAAATCAAGTACAAAGTGAATGATCTGGGAAAAGCTTTAGGATTTAAAAACAGTTTAAAGGAAAACGATTTCATTTATTTGGAAGAACATTTAGAGTGTACCGCGCCGATTGCAGAAGCAATCGACATTTTACAAGCCGATAATATTTTCTATGGAACACTATTACCATGCTTACTATCCTTAGACAGAAAATTATCAAAATTGGCAAAATCACAGTGGAAATTTTGCGGACCAATAAGCATATGTCTCCGTGACAGTTTTTAAAAGAGGTTCATTGCTTACCTGAAATTTTTGAAGCCGGAGGCAGATTATGCTGCCCTGGCAGCACTAACGCATCCCCAATTTAAAAATAAGTGGCTGAAATGCATTCCGAAGTATCATCGAAACAGACTACTGGATCTCTTCAAAAATGCTATAGCCACAGAACTTCAATGCAATGAGGAATATATAATAAGTACGCCACAACCATCGTCTACTCAGGAAAATTTTTTTGATTTTGAAGATGATACTACGCAAAACGTAGCTACAGAATATTCTGCCAAAGCAGAACTTGAAGTGAGTAGTACTTTCAATCATTCAGTATCATTTTTTTATCATTTATCATTTACTTACAAGTATCATTTTTTTATCATTTATTATTTACTTACAGGTATTACACTTTTTTCAAAAAAGAAGTATAGAATACACTATCCTGGATAAATATGCTGCAATAAAAAAGATATTTTTGAAATTTAATACTCCACTACCATCGTCGACTCCTGTGGAGAGATTATTCTCATACGCCACAATTACAAATTCTCCGAAGTCCAACAGACTATCAGATAGTATGTTCCAACGGAGAGTAATTTTAAAAGCCAATTTAAAAAATTTTAAACTAGATTGATGCTCTGCAGCCAAAGTCAATGGGACCCTTTACAGGACCTGGGACCCTTTGCGACCGAGCGCTCGACACCCGACATTATTGGGGTCATAAAGGACAAGGATGGCACAAGTCATTCAAAAATGGATCATGATAGATAATTATAATTAATGTAGTTGAACTCTTTTTTCCGTCTGTAACATAAATTGAGCTTTTAAATAAAAGACGTCTTCCAGTTTGTAATCAGAGTTAATTTATTTATGAGCACAGTCGTAATATGCTATATTCGTAATTTTCCTATTCCCTACTTTTATGCCTCCCCATCCAGCTTTGTTTAATTCAGTTTCCAGATCTGCCAGGAATATTGTGAATAGTGTGGGACTTAAGATACAGACAAGAATGTACGTATTTGTAGTCATTTAAAACCATAAATCAGTTGTAGACCTCAGAACTAGGCAGACCTGCATCCTTGTCTTTCGACGGACCTCTCTGACTAACGTTGTTCGGGTTGTACGGTATTTTTGGGACACTGTATATTTATCACTATTGCGATTAATGATCTTCTGAAATGTTTTTAACCCTTTCATTACTTACTTTTCAAGAAATATAAATTAAAAGCATCATAATATTATTTTAATTACAAAATATTAAATACTTTTAAAACACTCATATTATTTGATCATTTTTTGTATATACGATTGGAAAATTTAATTCATATTTATAATTTTAGTAATAATTTTTTACAAATAAATATTTTATAAAAAACATGGAAAATGTGGGTACACGAAAAATTGCTTTCCAGAATTTAAAGTCAAGTTCGTTAAAAGTTGTCCGATTTTCACGATATTTTAACACTTTCATCGGAAGAATGCTAGAATTCCATTAATGTTACTTTGATATCGATAAGATGGGAAATAAAGAACTTTATCAAATGTAAAAGTGGTGGCACGTGGCGAAGCGAATTCTGTAAGAGGGGACCGCTGCGTTGCTTCGCTCGCCTTGGCCCTTGAAGGACCCAACAGGTACCTGTCGAAACTATCCGAGCTTCGAATAAAGATACAGATAAAAGTGAAAAAATTATTCGAAACTCAGAGGGTAAGGCCTTCAAATAAGAAAAGTATCTTTGGTCCGTCGGATAAATTCTCGTCGAATAAACTGGTTTATCCGTAGCGCTTCGGATAAGATACTTCGTGATTATTCGAACTTCGAATAACGGATAAGAATAAAGTATCTTTTATTCGACTTGCCATTTAAATAATTTTTTATCTAGATAATGCCCATCTCTGCCTGGAACACATGTTTTGGGTCCCCTTCCAACGCTGCTCCTTCAAGTAAGATGGGCCGGTTCCGACTACCATCTCTCCGAGGAGACAGTACCGCCGCTAGGAAAGACAGAGAGACGGTAGTCGGAACCGTCCCATCTTACTTGAAGGAGCAGCGTTGGAAGGGGACCCAAAACATGTGTTCTAGGAGTGGATTCCCCTACTTGGACAGGCCTGAGCTAAGAGAAGGCCGGAAATCCAGAGAATGGAATTAGTTTCACTTCTAAAATTCCTGAACGACTAATTTATGATAGACCATAGCCATGTTTTCGACCAATTCACGGACGGTCCTTAAAACCTACGAAGTCTTTTTCGATATCCTGTCTTTTCATGCACTTTAAAAGGGTCGTAAATTTTCTCAAGAGTTGCCTTTGGCAAGTACTGTACGCGTCTGCTAAGTTGAGACTCCTAAGGAATTGGGTCTGATTGGTCGGAGCTAGATGGGCCAGACTTAGACACGCACACTTATACAGTTGACCCACACGCATTCTCGCTATTCGCTCTCTAGGTTACAACTACTACAGGGTGATCCTCTCGCTACGCTACCCAAAGGAAGTGCCGCCACAATAGAATGTAGAAGTCGACATCCCATTTCTGTCATCGCTTACTTGACCGAGGTGGCCCCTGCAATGAAGACGACTGTGTGCGTGAAAATGTGTTAAGAAAATATTCTGTTTTCCGCAGTGCTTAAATGGGACTTTTCTGCTCATTACACACATTTTCACGCACACAGCCGTCTTCGCTGCAGGGGTCAAGTAAGCGATGACAGAAATGGGATGTCGACTTCTACATTCTATTGTGGCGGCACTTCCTTTGGGTAGCGTAGCGAGAGGATCACCCTGTACTAGACGAGGGTTCGAGGTGAGGATTAGGCGGAGCGTTTCACACCTCGAGTCTCAACTTAGTAGACGCTTACAATACATACAAGGTCTTGTCGTTTCCTATTTTCTCTGGGTCCCACGCTTTCTCGTAGCACATGTGCGCTGCAGCGTTCTAACGTCTTGGCGGAGCGCCTCCACTTCCACGCGCCTGAGGGTGGACCACAGCCAGGAAAAGGGGCCCACACGAGACGGGGTAGACTCCTCCACCATTGGACGGGGGATGATCCTGAGAGAGGATCCAGGATCCACGAAGGAAGGGGGATCGACGGACAACGCGCGAAGATCTCCTCCGTCAAGCGCAGAACCGGCAGAATGATTTTGTCACTCGATTAGCAAAGTTGTTCTCACGCTGCAATCTAAACGGAATTTGATAAATTCAAAGTCTTGCTCAATTTACCGAAAAATAAATCACGAAATTAAAACAGCGAATTAACAGTTGTTTAATTCATTTTCCGCGCCTTGCGAGCGGAGCGGCTTCGCGCTCCACGGATTATCATACCTGCGCCTTCAAATCCCCAAAAATCCCTATTTTCCGCGAACGGACACGTAACAACATACAGAAGACCACTCACGCACTATATCGTTGTATTTCTATGGTTATGTTTCAATACTGGTAACTGGTAACACATGATTTTATCGTACATATATAATATTTTAAAATTTAAGAAATGGGAGTTATTCTTTCTCATTACAATAGTAATCTCTTTAAAATGGTCCACAATAATTATACTCCGACCAGACATAAATTATTTGACAGAATTACATAAATGTCCAACATGTTTTGGTACTTCTGCGTGTGATTATATTCATGAAGTAGATATTACATTTCGTGACTTTTATTCCGCGTTTTCTTATTATTTCGGAGTAAAAAATGTATTTTTTGGTACATTTAATACAAGTAAGGTTATATTGAAAAAATTGGCGCAATCTTTTGAATTAAATGAATTTGATCGTATGCTTTGTGAAAACGTAAATTTTTCTTATATTTGTCCAATGAATACAGAAAAAACAGATAATCAGATTGATGTAAATTTTTATAAACTCATAGAAAAACAAGTCAGTTTATCTTTTACTCAAGATCATTTTAGTCGTTTAAGACTATGTCCAAATGTTCGTCATTTAAATGATCTGTTACACCCTATATATTTTAGCAATAAAAACGTAGATTCAGAAACACTTGATATAAATATTTGGACGCTAACAGTTCTTAATCCTGAGCCATTATTTTTACAGGTATAGATATTAATTTATAAGTTCAAATATTAATTGCCTAAAATTTTTTTGTTAAATACAAAATAAATATTGTAAACATTGATGTGACTGGGAACAGACCAAGGTGAGCCTTGGCCTTTCAAGAATGTGGCTAACTCTTTCACCATTATAAAATTTTAAGATTCTAAAATTCTAGTTTCAAAATTCAAAAATTTCCAAGGGAGCTGGCATCCCCTAAAAAATCCTAGTTATGCCAATAATTGTAAATAATGTTACATTAAAGGTTGTTTTTCTGTGTATACATAAAAATATCAGCATCGAATAAATTTATAAGTAAAATATTTTTACTGATATATAGATATTATCTGCAGACAAAAATTGGCCAGTGCCAAAATATTTTGGTGCTTGTGGACGAATTATAATTGAAGAATATGTGGGATTACCATTAACTGCTTATTACAATGAACCATGGTTAAATAGAGCTAAAATAGCTTCTAGTCTTTTAAATGCTGCTCATACATTCACTTATGGGAATGAAAATTTCGGTTTTTATTTAACTGATATATCAGCTGATAACATAGCAGTTGATTTAAAGTATAATGCGAAATTCATAGATTTAGAAAATGTGATTATTGTTGACAAAAATCTTACATCTAAAGGTAATATTATTAATTCAAAAGATCTTGTCATTTAAAAAACAGCAGTGAGTACAAAAAATAATATGTACATGTTTTCTTAAATATGTTTCTTAGAAAAACCACCAAAATGGAATGAATTACATGTAAATGCAGATGACTTGAGTTGCCCTGAATGTTTGGTATTTTCTTCTGTTGAAATATGTAATCATAAAATTAGTGACCATAACTATTATGCAATATGTAAGGTTGGTTATTGCTATGACATAAATTTGTATAATTTTATATAAATTTGTTACAAGAAATAACTAAATGTTTTGAAGCAAAACACTTTAATTTTCTATTTTCAATTTTTAAACGAAATATTATATTTGCAGATACTATTGTCACTAAATACAAACAATAGTGTATTAACTGGTGGTCTCCTACATGATATACCTGCAAATATATTAAAACAATATTCGAATATACAGTATTTAATCAGACAATGTGTTAACCCGGATGGACCCCTAACTAGAATAACTGCAGGAATGGAACTTAAACAATTATTAGATATTGTTATCCAATAGTAATTACTGTTAAAATGTATTAATTTGAAAATAAGAAAGAATTTTTGCAAATCTTGCTATGTTAAGTCACACCTATATTAGTCAAATGTAATATAATTCATGCCACTATTATTTACAAAGTTATAAAAAAAAATTTTTTTTTAAATTTGTTGAACAAAAGTTACTGCATACAAAAATTCGTTGTACAGTGCTATTTTGTTTAAATGATAATGTAGTTTATTTTATTATTAAGGTGTCACCAGTTTTTTTTTATATATGTATATTATAGAAAATAAAACTGTATATTTATTTAATTCAGACCATTTCTTTAACACTAATTTATATTATTGTTATTAGTAAATTACATTTTTTTCATTAAATTTAGCAGCATGAGTTTTCCCTGATTTGTATGGCTGTCAGCATATTAAAACAATATTTTGCATATGTAATTCGATAAATATCAAAATTATATTTCATTAATAAAATAGTTCAAAATTGATGCCATGAACTTTCATAGTATAGCAGAATAATTTAACTGCTACTGCTATTGCTATGTTATAAAAGCATCTCAATTAAACATATTTATACAAAGTTCTTAAAATACATGCATGTCACCATACACGAAATTTATTATTTAGTATACTGTTTTTTGCAAGTAAATTCAAAATAAATAACTTTAAAAATATTTACAAAAATTTTATTACAATTACTAATTGTAATAAATGAATTAAAAAAATTCTCTACATTCACATCAAATTGATGCATATTATATTCATATAAAAACATGACCTTTATTATTATTATTATTATTAATTCAGTAACAGATATGCAGTTTGATTTATTAAATTTTATTTTCTTAAATAAAAATTATACGTTAACTTCACGATTTAAATTAAAAAAGAAATAAATTATTAAATGTAATTTTTATATTTATACGTATTTGATAAATGCATAATTCTATTACATAACGATCTGAGTGCTGACAAACAATTTTTAATTGAATTAATAAGCGTTATAATTACTAACATAGAAAAATATTTATTACTCATTTTGAAAATACTCAGTATTTTTTAAATACATTCCTGCAACTACTCTAGCACTCAAACATTTAATATGTAATTCTCAAACCAAAAAGAATGTCATAAAATTTGTTACCTGATTTTATTGCTCATTATTGAAAAAATAATACGAAATATACTTCTTCTAAAAGATTGTCTTCTTTCAATTAAATTATAAGGAGCGTTTATGTATCCTCAATCGGTATATTAAATTTAACCATTTGTCTTTCTAACAACGATATCCTTTCTTGTAATTTATTTATTGTGTCATCTTTTTCAGCAATATCATTTCTTAACTGTGCTATCGTTATATCTTTGTCTTCATTTAAGTTTTGTAATAATTGACTCGTTGATGGCCGCTTCTCAGGATCGGTTTGAACTAATTGGCTTACTATATGTGCCTGTATGAGAATTAATTAAATTAACTTTGAAATATTTCTTTGATCAGATATAAAAGATTCTGTTTTAATTGCATACCCATTTAGGATAAGTAGCAGTCAATGTTGTTGGTATTTGACCTCGCTTTAACCCATTAATTACTTCAATCCTCTCCATGTAAGTTTTTGTATGTACTAATAGTTCTAGAAGTACTATTCCTAGACTGTATATGTCGCTCTGTAACAATATAAATTAAATTGACGTATTTCTTAAAATTAATATTAAATAAAAAAAAGCTGAGACGGTACTTTAGGATTACATTTCCCCTGTAGTTGTTCTGGTGCAGCGTACATATGTGTACCAAGTATAGAACGATGATTTTCCCTTTGCAATGGACAAGCTAAACCAAAATCTCCTAGTTGTATTTGCGGTCGACCTGACATTGAAATAAATATATTGCTCGGCTAAAATAAAGGTAAAAAATTATAAAAAGTTTCTTAAATGTTTTATTTGGAATGTGAACTTTTTATCTTTATATTACCTTTATGTCGTGATGCACAATTCCACGAGAATGTATATAATCTACGCCACACAGAATTTGCGTCAATATTGCAATAATCATTGTTTGTGATGTCATCTCTACTCTTTCGTCGAGCCATTGTTGAAGAGTTTTCTCACAGAGTGCCATTTGTATATACAATGTTGCGTATTGTTCGTTCTTTAAATCAGATATCAATTTTTTAACGTTTTTTCAAATAATAATAAAAATTATATACAAACCATTTGAGATACATATGGATAAAGTATTTTATTGCTACTAGTTTCTTCATACGAATCAGTACCATCTGTATAATTTGTATTATTTTCTGTTTTCTTATCTTGATTCTTGCTATCATTTCTGAAAGATATACTATTTGAATTATTTCTATCAATATTTTCTTCTGCAACATTTCCTTCATTTAATTGCTCCCCTATAATAACAATTGTATACTAAATTTCAGTGTATAATTTTTCTTTTTTAAATTTCTATAAATACACTTACCAAATTTACAATTTGCGTTTTTATTTTGTTGTAAAAATATATCTTCATCACTTTCTTTTGGACTTTGATCACTACAATTACTGTTAGGACTTAACTGATTGTGTGTACTAGAAGATTGACTTCTATACAATTTATATCTGCTCTTTTTTCTGTGATTTGAAGAACTTGATTTGCTTTGAAAATGCTTTGGAGATAATAAACTTGGTATAAAAGTTGAAGATAGCGTTGATTCAATCCAGGCACCTTTATATGAAACTATATTGGTATGATTTAATTTGGCCAACGTTTTTACTTCTTCAAGATGCTGCATGATACTTTTAACTCGTCCAGAACGTACTATTATTTTTTTGATAGCATATTCGATGCCATCAAGACGATGCAAGGCTTTGAAAACATTTCCAAACCCACCAGCAGCAATAAAACCTATTTCTTGAAACTCTCTATGATACCGGGACCATTCTGGTATTAATGAACTGTACAGAATAAATGTAAAATAGATTATATAATCTTTTTATAATGACACATAATGTCTGCTGACATCTTTTATTGAATCTTATACCTAGGAACCTGCAGTATACTTTCACAACCAGTTGCTGCACGTGCAACTGTGACTAAATGATACAATGCACGTTGATACTGACTTCTCAATGTTTCAAATTCCATCATATTGTATGAACTATCAATTAACTTCAATTCGTGAAGCCTATCACAAATAGCTAAAACAAGAATAATAACTAATTTTGATGTATTACTTAAGTTAAGAAAACTTAGTGACAAAATTTAGATTGGAAATGGAAAAAGAATTAATTTAAAAATTATCATATTCACAATGCAACTATATTTAATAAACCATCAAGAAATATTTAAAAGTTATTTTATGAATTTCATAATACTATTATATGAAGACAAAATATAAGTATGTCCATTCTATAATTACTGTATTTCATTTTAGAATTATATAAACATAATGTTGCTCCTAATACTATTAAATATACAGTTGCCTTAATTTTTATAACAAAAATAAATATATTACCAAAATATAATTTGTTTCTGCGAACCAAATTATCACCTTCAAATAGCAGACAAAGCTGTTGTATAAGTGACTCGATTAACAAACTAGTAGAAGGTGTAACTCTGCTTACAAGTTGTCCATTATTTTGATTGCTATCATTATTCAAACATACTGTAGTTTTTGCACCATTGCCTACCAATGCAAATAACATATGAAACATTAAGTATAGAAAAAAGATACACATTCATATAAAAAGATTTGATTAAAAAAGTAATTTTTAATTATGGTCTTAAATAATCAGTATTTTAATATAGTTAAAGATTAAGTTTTGTAAATCTCTTTATTAAAATAATATTGGCATTTTAAATAATATAATGTTTTAATGAAATAATTTATTTGAATACATTTTTAAATTGAGCGGGTATTTTAAGGTTATATTACCTACCTCTGTCAAATGTTGTTACCGTAGATAAAGAATCCCAAGGATTAGTTAAGTGTATAGCGTTATCCTCCATCCTTATTTTATTTAATCTTTTGGTTAATATTTATATTTCTACAAGTTTATGTAGAATAGTTGTGTTCTTACAATCTGTAATATCGCTAGAATATCTTCATGCTATATTTTCTAGAGGAAATGTGTCATTGACACTGACTGACACTGCACAACAGATAAATTGATTATAAATTCACTATTTATATACATTATAGAATTTAAACTGCAATAAAAGTTTACTATTACGTTATCGCGTGAACTTGACTTTAGTAATACAGGTAATAACAATGTGAAATAGGGATGTTCGATTCCGATTCGATTCTTTAGGTAAAAAATCGATCTTTTCAATCGATTCTTTGGTATTCGATTTTCCCCAGAATCGATTCTTTCATGTAGTACATACGTAAGAATCGAAGATACGATTTTTTGCCCTCTAGGAAATTAATTCTCACTTTTTATATCGACTTTTCAGTTTCGAATTTTTAGAAGAATCGATTTTTCTGATCCATAAAATCACATTCATTCCTAAAAAAAGTATAAGAATAGTGATTAAAATATAAACAATGTGGAGCGCCTGCTTTTGGTGTAAGAGCACGAAATATAAAAAAATATACAATCGATTCTTTATAATAATCGATGCCGCACAGAAGAATCGTATGGGATAGTCTGTTTACAAAAATTAAAATAGAAAAGGATACAAAAAAAGTTAATTTTTTTCAAACCGATTCTTTTTAGACCGATTTTTTGGTTGCGATTTTTTAAAAGAATTGATTCTCTCATTCCGATTCAGAATCGATTCGAACATCCCTAATGTGAGAAATGTCGTTAGGTGCGAAATTTGAAAGTGGCCAAACACACACATATACTGGGTACTTGTGTGTAAGTAAGTACCTACTTATTTATTTACTTTTTTCCATAAAACAATGCTAGTATATTCTACCTGTAAAAATATTAATTAATAAAAATTGTAACAAAAAACAAAATAGTAATATTCTGCAGTGCGAGTATGAAAGAATGCACCGATGAGATCAACATCCTATGTGAATTCACACCGTCTGCGAACTTGTTAACAAAATAAAATCTTCAGAT